CATGCCTGTTAATATTTGTTTTATATAGTTGGATGCACTGGTATTTGTTGTTTATATATTTATGACTGTTATCTCTTCCTCTTATATTGTTCCCTTTACAAGGATGTTACACTAGTATTTTCTATACATATACTTTTCTCACTTCTTGAAATAAAAAATGTGGGTATAGTAGACATAAGCATTTCCTGATGTCACCAAACATTTAAAAGATTTTAATGACTGTCATTTCATTATTTGGATGTACCCATATTAACTTAACTGTTTTCCAAAGATTAATATTAGGCTTATTGGTTGAGCCAGGTTCTGAGAATGCAGCTGTGACTAAAGCACAAAACCTTCTGTCCCACACATCAGTTTTTAAAGTTAGCATTCACATTACTATGATGAGACCTTTGCCCGACTCTTTGATTATTGCCTTAGGTTGAGTTTCTAAAAGTGACGTTTCTAAGAATCAACAACTGGGATCTCATCTTTTTTTGGGGGGTGGGATCTCATCTTATTAAAAAGTTTTTGCACATCTAAAGAAATAACCAGCAGAGTAAAAAGAAAACCCACAAATTGGGAAAAAATGTTAACTGACTGCCCCTCAGATAAAGGACTTCTATCTAGAACATGTAAAGAATCATCCCCCCCCAATTCAAAGACCCAATCCAAAAACGGGCATCTGAGATGAATACACACTTCTCAGATAAAGTACAAATGGCAAATAAACACACAGTAAAATGTTCAACATCATTAGTCATTTAAGAAATGCAAATTAAAACAGCACTGAGGGATTTCATCTCACCCCAGAAAGAATAGCTATCATCAAGGACTCAACCAATAACAAATGTTGGAGGGGTTGTGGGGGAAAAAGGAACCCTTCTCCACCACTGGTGGGAGTGTAGACTGGTGCAACCACTGTGGAAATCAGTCTGGAGATTCCTCAGTAAACTAGGATTAGAGGTCCCATTCAACCCCGCTATTCCCCTCCTGGGTATTTTTCCAGAACTAAAAAAATCATACCACAATGATATATGTGCACCCATGTTTATAGCAGGGTAATAGCTAAATTTGTAATAGCTAAATGTTGGAAACAACCCAAATGCCCATCAACTGAAGAATAGATAAGAAAGCTATAAAGAAAGATAAACTCAGGCTTTTATAGGTAAATGGATGCAACTAGAGACCATTATCATAAGTGAAATAAATTGGACCCACATGTGTAAACACCATATTGTTTCCCTAGTGTAAGAACCTGAAAGAGCAAATAAAATCTCAAAGGTACAATAGTACTGTGAAAGGGAAAAAACTGCTCAAAAGAATAGAATAACTGGGATGAGGAAAAAGAAAAAAAAGGAAAGGAGGAAAAAAAATGTATATTTATATTTTGTACACAAGATAGTTAAGATAATTGTACTACTAACTTCTGTTGCTTTATTGAAAGGAACAGTTAATGTGTAATTGTTTGATCAATCTTACAGGCCTATATTTGTTTATCTGAGTAACCAATTTGAAGATAACAATATGTAATACAACAACCATTGTTAACTTCCTATCACTTTGTCTGAAATTCTGTATTGCTTTGTTTTTATGTTGTTTTATTTATGTCTGTGTGTTTGTTAATATGTTTTCATTCTTATATCTTTGAAAAAGAATAAAAATAAATAAATAAAGTGAAGTGTCTAGAGTCCAGTGATTTTGGACATGTTTTGTTGTTCAGTTCATTGGTGATGCAAGGCGTCACCCCCAGAGCCTCATGCGCTGGGCAAGTGTCTGTCACTGGGCTGCGTCCTGGCCCCTTGGCCTGATCAAAGGGTACTGATTATGCATATTGATGTTTCAGTGTGATGGTCCCCCACATGCATCCAGCATGTGCTAATCAAAGCCAGCCTCCCTCCATCCATCTCCCCACTTCCTAGCCACTGGTAATCTCTTCTACATTTAGATTGGCTGTTTTTCAACTTCTCTGTGAGAGCATGTGACACTTGTCTTTCTGTGTCTGCTTTATTTCACTTAGTGTAGTGTTGTCCCACTCTCACTCATTTTGCTACCAATGACGATTTCATTCAGCAAAAATTTAAAAATAAATAAAATTTGAAAATAAAAAAGTAAAATATTTCATTCGGCTTTGTGGCTAATATCCCATTATGTGTATGTACCATATATCCTACTGTTTTTTTTTTCTGAGGCAGGGTCTCACTATGTAGCCCAGGCTGGCCTCAAACTCATAGCGATCCTCCTGAGTGCTGAGATCACAGGTGTGCACCACTGCCCCCAGCATGGTCTATGTTTTCATGCTTAGATGGACACCCAGGCTGATTCTATAGCTTAGCTGTCTGGTAGGAGCTTTATGAGCCCTGTGGCTACACTGCAGCCACCCATAGGCTCTGAAGCCAGAAACCTGACCACCCCACTTAGCCTTGGAAACCAGGATTCTGATGGAGCCTTTGGGAAAGGAAGGGGGAACTTAGGGAGTCACTGGAGGGGCCACCAAAGGAGGTTGGACCTCTGGAGTGGAGCTAGAGTTGAACACTGCTGAACCCATGCTTGCCTCCTGGAAGCTAAGGCAGGAGGCACCCAGGCATCTAACAAAGCGTGGGTATCAAGGGCTGGACACATCTTTACCTTGGGCGCAGCCCCCTGTATCACAGGCCGGGTCAAGGGTCCCCACACTGGAGCGGGGAAGGGCATGGGCCTCCTTCGCTTGGCCACCTCCTTGTAGAGGCATTTTTGTGTGGGGACCATGGGCCCAGCTCCCGTTCACAGCCTACTTCCTCGTGCTGCCTGTTCTGGGAGCGAGGTCAGAACTGCTAGTCCACCAAAGGCCCCATGGCCCATGGCACCCACAGCCTTCCCCGCTCCACTGTGGGGACCCTCAGCCCTGCCTGTGATACAGGGGGCTGCGCCCAAGGTAAAGGTGTGTCCAGCCCTTGATACCCACCCTTTGCCAGATGCCTGGGTGGCTCCTGCCTTAGCTTCCAGGAGCAGAGGTGAAGGAGGACTCCCAGAGCCTGAGGCAGGAAGGCTGTGTTGGTGACAGCATGCTGGCTTCCTCCTGGTCAGTGTGAGAGACAGCACAGAGGAGGGGCGGTGGTGGCACCCGCTCTATAAAGCCTGAACTTGGGAGCCACTGACCAGAGGTTGGCTCCGGAGCTGGGTGTAGCTCAGTAGCAGAGCCTGTGACAGTGTAGACCAAAGCACTCCTAGGTTCCATTACCTGTACTGAAAAAAAAACCATTATTTTTTGTGGTACCCTGAGATCTATTTTTTTCATCTCCTAAGTTTAAGGTTCACTTGTACCTAAATTTTCTCTTCTTTCTTTGTGTGTGTATGTGTGTGTGTGGTGCTGGGGACTGGATCCAGGCCTTCCTTCTATTTGTTAGGCAGACCCTCTATCAATCACCAAGGGGCACTCCCAGCGTATACATACTTTTATTATCCACTTTAATGGTAGATAATTCCATTTCATTCTCTTTACAGGACCTTACTGACTTCAGGGCCCATTTCTTTTGTGGTGTTATACCACTGAGGCCACACCCAGGCCATTGACATTGTCTCTAATCCACCACCTAAGGAGAACCAAGATTAGGTTTTTGGAGAATAACTATCCATGCTTCTTTTTCCTACACAGTAAAATACATGGTTGTGGTTGGTTGGTTTGTTGTTTTTGAGAGTCACTATGTGGTTCAGGCTGTCCTTGAACTCACTATATAACCCTGGCTGGTCTCAAGCTTGTAGCCATCCTACCTCAGCCTCCCAAGTGTTGGGATCACAGGCGTGCCACCATGCCCAGGTAGTAAAACACACCCTATTCTAATTTGTTTTGTTAAAACAACTCAGCAAAATAAAACTCTAGTTTGTTGTGGAAAACATTGTTCCACACATAGATCAAACAGATCAAAATAACTGCATAAGCAAAAGAAAAAAACTTTTAGCTTTGGACTTTTAACCATCTCACACCCAAAAAAGCCATACAAATGAACTACATTTAGTACAATTAAGTAAATATATAATAAAAGTTGCTGAAATGCTCAGAGTAAGATTTTGCTGTGATTTGGTTTGGGGGATTTAATTGTCTGTTCTTTGTACTGGTGATCAGACCCAAAGGCAAGCTACATCACGGGCTCTTTATTATTATTATCATCATTACTACTTTATTTTGACAAGGGGCTCTCTAAATTGCCCAGGCTCCTTACCATAGCTTCCCAAAGTGCTGGAGTTACAGGGTGTGCCACGGTGCCCAGCCTTGACCTCCCTTCTGCCTCTTCTCCTACCTTAGGCAGAGAAAGTTTTCTGCTTTGAGGGCTCATGTGGCTGGAGTGGGCACCCAGACAATCCACAGAACTCCCGTTAATATTGGTAGTCTTTATTACGTTTGCAAATTCCTCTTGCCATGTCACAGGTTCTAAGGGTCGAGATATGGGTGTCTTTAAGAAGAGCATTCTGTCCACCGCACAGTCTTCCCATGCTACTAAACAAATTTTACGTTTTGAAGCAAAGCCCATCTCCTAGGTTTCTAAAATGAGACTCGCCATGGTGTGAGCAGACCCATCCCTGTTCCTGATTGCCTGTGACTACCTGGGAGACTGCAAGCCTTCCAGAGCCACAGATGCATCACTAAGTAGCTGGGAGATTCCTCAGGTGATTCCTGTCCCGTTCTAAGCAACCACATACCGCATCCTTTCCCCTCCCTCATAAATGTTCTTGCTGTGTCCTCAAATTCTAACTATCCTTAGATAACTTTTTTGCTCAGTTTTTTCATTCCACCGTTCAGTTGGTATTAATTACCCTCTGGGTAAGAAACAGAGTCCATGAACTTGAGGTACAGCTTTCTCCAGAGTCAGGTATAAGGAAACCCAGCTGAGTAGGAAAGGCAAATCGCGGGAAATTGCCAGGTGTGACAGCTTCCAAATGTGTTGGGGGGAGGGGGCTAGGGATGGAACCTAGGGCCTTGCACATGCTAGATGAGTGCTATATCGCAATTTTCTATGTAACAAGTTCCAGAAATTAAGTACAGAAACAGAGTAAAACATCACTTTTATTTTGCCTCTTCCAATCATCTACATTCACTTGTTCTCACTAAACATAAAAAGCAGCACCAAAGTGCCCACGGTCTCTGGTGACAAGTTCTCTAGAACAGTGGGGTAACCTCAGCATGCATGAGAATTTGTCCATCGCTCAGCCAGATCCTCCGCTAAGTAGCCAAGAGTTCCTCCTGCAGCTAAACATCAGAGCTGCAAGATAGGAAATGTAAGTGCTTAGGGTGGGTGGGAGACAACAAGGACGGGAAACAGAAGAACACAGGGCCAAGGTAATACAGGGGCACTAACTTGGGAGAAGGGTAACTTGCTAAGTGTAAATTCAGACCTATATTAAATCTGGGCACGGTGGCACACATCTGTAACCCCAGCACTCAAAAGGCTGAGCCAGGCAGGCTGCAAGTTCAAGCCAGCCTGAGCTATGTATACAGCAAGCACCTGTCTCAAAAACAAAACAAACAAACAAACAAGATCTACATTAAGACCTGCTCTGTGCCCTTGTCTGGTCAGAGGTCAGCAGCTGTACAGGACGCCTATGGCTCAAGCACCCTGGGCACAGGCGCCCCCTCCCAGGCGCAGCTGCACTTTTGCACCCTCATGTTGGGCAGGCTGACCACCCGGGAGCGTGTCCTGCCTCCCTCCTTGACGCTGATGATCATGGGCAGTGCAGCTGTCTCAGAGGCAATGCACTGCCGTGGCCCCAGAAACGGCCACTTGAAGCTCAGGGGCTCCGGGGGCTGCAGGCAGCTGCCCACACACTCGTAGACTAGAAGGCCGGGAGGCTCCAGGACCCAGTTCTCTGCCCACTGCGCCCCCTGCAGGTCCAGGAACGTCTCGCGGCGGCAGCAGCGCGCGCCCCCGGGCTCCACTGCCGTGAGGTCACAGGCGCCTTGAGCTCTGCAGGGCGAGAGAAGGCGGCCGGTCAGCAGGGGGCTGGGGTCAGGGAGGCCCAGGGCCCAGCGTAGCGGGCATCTGGGAAGGAGACAGTCCACCTCCCAGTGTGTTAAAGCGCTGGGCATTTGTGGTAGAGATAAATGATTAGCTCTAGAGTACAGAGCCAGCTACTGCTGATGAACCGCCTCCCACTGTGCCAGATGTGGAACTGGGTGCAGCACAGATGGACCGTGAAGAGGTACCAACGCCAGCTTGCCTGTACTTGCAGATGCCAAGACCCACAGGTGCCCAGGAAGGCAAAGCTGTGTGCAGCCCATCCTGTCTGGTTCCTAAGGCCTGGCCCTGGCCAGCACACAGCCATCCAGAGTACCAGGCATCCACGGGGATGGAATCCCAGAGCCCCAAGCCAAAATTTATGGACGCTCAATCCTTTGTGTAAAATGGTGCAGTGCTCACATATAACCTGCAGACATCATCCCATAGATTTTTTTCTCAATACTGGGGATTGAACCCCAAGCCTTCACACTAAGCCAGTGATGGCAAACCTTTCAAGGCTTTCAATGATACCAACAGCCTGCTGCAGCACTCCTGCCAGAGGTTCCCACCTGTGCACTCACCTCAACCCGCTTTTATTTATTTATTTATTTATTTATTTTGGTACCAGGAATCAAACTCAGGACCTGGCACTTGCCAGGCAGGCACTTGTGCCACTGAGCTAATTCCCCAGCCCATTATTTTTATTTTGAAGCAATCTCTCTCTGTGTCAACTAAACTGCCCAGGCTGGGCTTGAACTTGTGATCCTGAGTAGCCATGCTTACAGGCATGCACCACCATGCCTACCCCCATATACTTTACATCATCTCTTGGTTAGTTAGAGCAAAGTAAATGCTACGAAAATAGTTGCTGCACAGTATTGTTTCAGCAATGATTATGAGAAAAACATCGCCACATATTCAGTAAGGTGAGGGGTTTTTTTTCAAATATTTTTGAACTTTGGTTGGTTGGTCGGTTGAATCCACACATGAGGAACCCATGGAACCCAGAGGTGCAGCCCCTTTTTTGCCCACCCCCTCGTAACTAGTCCCATGGGGAAAAAAAGATTTCAGCGTTAGTTACAGAGAAAGCTAATATTTTAAAAGACTTAATCATGAAGGGTAAAGTGAAAACAGAGAACTACAATATCACAATCAGTGACGATATAAAAAAATATGCGAGCCGGGAGTGGTGGCACACGCCTGTAATCCCAGCACTCTGGAGGCTGAGGCAGGAGGATCGTTTCGAGTTTGAGACCAGCCTGGGCTACAAAGTGAGCTCAAGGCCAGCCTGACCTGAATAGTGAGACCCTGTCTCAAAGAAAAAAAAATGCGAAAATACTTTCAGTAAAATGTTTGACCCTTAGAAGGCCAGGTCCGTCGGGGCGTCCGCCGCACCCACCCGTAGTCCTGCAGGTCCAGCGTGTGCAACTCCAGCTGGGGCTCGGCCCGCGCCCGCGCTCCCTGCGCCGCGAAGCGCACCAGCCGGTGGGCGCCCGCGCCTGCGCCCGCGCCCAGGAGCTCCCTCTGCACCGACACCTGCAGCAGCAGGGG